CCATTTCCCTGAAGGTTCGATGTTCAGAGATGCTCTCTTCTGCAGACCTTGGTTGTAATGAGTGGTTATTTGAGTTACTGTTACCTTTCTATAAGATGGAACCAGTCTGGCCATTTTCCTCTGACCTCTGGCATCAATAAGGTATTTGCACCCACTGAACTGCCGCTCACTGAATATTTTCTCTTTTTCGGTCCATTCTCTGTAATCTCTAGAGACGGTTGTGTGTGAAAATCCCAGTAGACCAGAAGTTTCTGAAATACTTAGACCAACCCGTCTGGCAACATCAACCATGCCATGTATAAAGTCACTTAGGCCGTACTCACACTATGTACAGTTGCCTCGAACCAGGCCAAAGCACGCTTGTCCCCTCTCCCGTCTCCCCCGATGGCCCACACTCACACTACAATCGGACATGGGGACGTTTACGTCATCGATGCAGCGCTGTTCAGTAAGCGCTCTTGCTCAGCACAGTGGAGATTTCTCTAGTTATATCGTTTCAGTCGTTTGATATGCAGTGACATGCAGTCAAATATTTCGCCAAACAGTCCGTAGGGATGTGGTGACACGCAGTCAGATATTTCGCTGAACAGATCCGCCACTTTTGGCGCTCATAAACAATCATAAAGTCCTCGTGCTGCAGGAATGAGGTTTGCTGAAGGTGCGCAGCTGTCGTGGATTGATGGGTTTGCGTCTTTAATAATCTACGGCAGTTTGCGTTCATTGAACAGTAAGGTTGATTAATAGATTCAAATGAAACAGCCCCTTAAAAGTCACGTCAAGCTTTCAGTTTCGGACTTCCAAAGCCCAAGTGAACCGCGCTCAGGCCCACTTCTTCCAACCGGGAAACGGGCCTGGCACGGTTCGGATAGCATAGTGTGAGTAGGCCCTAAAATCACCTTTCTTCTCCATTCTGATGATCAGTTTGACCTTCAGCAGATGATCTTGACCATCTCTACATGCCTAAATGCATTGAGTTGCTGCCATATGATGACTAAAAGTTGGCTGACTAAAACATTTGCATTAACGAGCAGTTAGACAGAAATGGACAACTGTACCTAATAAAGTGGCCGGTGAGTGTACAGTATATTATTTCAAAAGAATGTCATCATGTAACTTCAAGCATAGGATTTTTGATTTTGAAAACATTTTTTTTAAATCTTACAAACCCCTATCCTTTTAAGAGTTGTGATTGCAGGCAGAATAAACGTGCCTCCATAGTTAGCAAACCAAAAATGAAAATGGCATAATAAAGGTGAACTCTGTGATGGATTCTGGCAATGGAGAAGGTCATCAGGTCCAAATAACTGTTAAGTGTCACTGACGTCAAATTTCCTGGCCGTGTTCTTTGCCCTCATTGTTGTGTGTTTGCCTGGACATTTTTCATCTGTATCTGATGCTGCCAGGTCATCCTTTCCCTCATTTCTGTCAGTTTGGCACCAGGTGACGGAGAGCTTCTGCTCCAGGATTGTCTCACTTTCTGTCAACATTGTCCATTGGCTGGATTCATCATCTACGGTGGAGCGTAATTTACAACGAGGGAATCATTTCACCCTCCCTGCCCATAATCATGCCCCACAACTACATCTGTTTAAAAATTTATGCCCACTTGTTCCTGGCATGCTGTTAGTTTTCAGTTCCCAGGGTCATTGTCTGCACAGAGAAAAGTATCCATAATTGAGAAGCTGGCATGTAGTAGTGGGTCTGCCCCATCTCCCCGGCAATGAGCCAGCGCTGGCCCCGCATTACTGTCGGATGTTGATGGACATCTCTCGTGTGTCTCAATGTTTGTAGGAGGCTGGAGCTGGGCCTGTGTAACCTGTGGTGATCTGTGTGGATGCGAGCTGAAAACACACACACATATACTTGCATACAAGCAGTCAAGGGCATCATAATCATCATCAGGCCAATATAGGAGGTCAGAAGAGCTGCAGCGGACAGGTTGTCTGCCAGAAAATGAAATCACATTTACAATTTCCCAGGATTGTACGATGAGGTTTTCCATCAAAGATCCTGTTCATGTGACCAAATATATGGTTGTATCACTTCACATGAGACTGTTGCATTATCTCAGCATCTCAGCATTAGGTCATATTTAGCTGGGCGAACAGTATGTGGTGTAGTTTTTGCTGTCTTATGAGCTTGTATAGAATTTTTGTTTCTCATCAGGAGAAATCGCTTGGAAATCCTTGATGCTTGTATGTTTACGGCTTGTATGGTGTGAGAGGAGTTTATGAACCGAGCAGCTCACAGTCATTTTAAAAATTACATAAAGGTTAGGGAGCTGTTAAATTCGTGAGGTGTGTGTGGTTGAATGAGCCAATATGTAGACAGTTTAGTTGTATATTTGCTTGTTTGTTTACTGTTATTGAGAGGAAGGCATGCTTATTTTTTTTTTACCTCAATTTTATTTGTCTGGTTTCTGTCATGGCTGTGTGTTTGTGCAAACTCTCTGATGTTGTCTGTGTTGTTGTCACATGGTTATGTTTTGCTTACCTCCAAGTGCATTTGGTGTTGCATGTTGGTGTTGTTGTGATCACATGGTTTTATTGTTTAATGCCGATCAGCTGTTCTGATCAGCCACCTCAGCTGTGGCTAATTAGCACAGCTATATCTGATTGGCGTTTTTGTTTTGTGGTCAGTTCATTTTTGTTTGTTCATGCTAACTCTGTGTCTTGTCAGAACTCCTGTTGACTTTTCTCTGGCTTACCTGTGCTGTTTACCTAGTTTAAGCTGTCTTCAGAATGTTATCAGCTTATGTTTCAGCTATGGCGTTTGCTTACTTATAAACTCTGTTTTGGACTTACTTGGACTAATATTTTTGACCTTAGGTCAATAAAGACACCTGTATCTTGGATCCATCTTTGTTTGTATTATTTTTTATTTAGGAACCTATGACAGCTTCTGTTGTCATTGGCTTTTAGCTATTTTTAGGTTTTAATTTTAGGTTTATTTTTAGGTTTTAATTTTTTTACCGTAGAGATACTACAGTGTTGTGGTTTTATTAGAATTTGTTTTTATATTTGTATATTTTTTTCTGTTTGAATTTAAAAGTGATAGTATTTTATTAGTAATATACCATTATAGAAATGTTTGTGTGTTTTTTAGGGCCATGAAATCCCCCTCTTTTGGTTCAAGTCTATTTTAGAATTTTAAAAAAATGCTTCATGATGGGCATGGAGCGGTGTGAGCAGAGGGCCAGCAGAGCAGGGGAAAAAGAGGGGAGCGAACAACTGTTGTCAGTTGGCTCACAAAATGAGGCACACATGATTTTATAGTTTACAAAGTTAAAATGCAAAGAAATAAACAGTAAGTAATTTAATGCCCTGCTACATATGCTATTCAAAATTTCATATACACATAACCACAATTATTTGTATTGTTATATAGATAGTCATATTTATCTAAACACTATAAATGAGGAGGACTTCTCTTCAATCCCTGTGTCTGAATGCAGACACAGTTGATAGCAGTGCAGCAGGTGTCTTGCCCTGTCTATTCCAACCATTAGTCTTACTGGTAATTTCGAGATTTTACACATGCAAACACAGCAGCAAGGATAGGCGATGTGTCTGAATGGTAACAAACTCAACGCATAAAAGTTACATTTTCACAATTCTCCATTTCTTGTATAGCTCTCACGATAAAAAATGCTTTCCACAAACCAATCGCTTTGCTGTATTCTCCCTGACAGAATAGCAGTGAAAAACATGCAACAAACCCTGTGGATTATGGAAGCAAACAAATACGCCCCATGCCGTGTGCTGACGCAGCCTCTCCCAATCATTGGGTCTCACAGCTTGGCAGATCTGCCTTGCCTTCGGAAAGCACATGCTCTCATGAATAATTAAGAAGCGGGGTCTTCTCATAGGATAAGAAAACTAAGCTATAAACAATTGATGTGTGATCACTCCACTAGCAAATTTTCGTCACCGATTTTGATCCCACCCCAAAAATGATTTTAAACCTGAAAGAGAAATAAGTTGAAATAAGCTGATAAAAGCAGAAAATTATCCAGTTTTCCCCACAATTAAAGCTGACAGGTGTCAACGTTGTCTTAGCTGATGCTCTACACACAAATCTGTTAGAATGTGAAAAAAAGTACTCCAGGGTGTCTTGAAGCTTTAAATGTGTCTTAGTACGCCAAGTTAAACAGACAGAAATCGTTCTATGGCAACTTGCAGTATATTTATATTTAAGTATAAAAGTAACTATAAAAAAAATGTCTTTGACCAACAAAAAGCTGCTTTGTTTGAAATTAAGCCCTTTTTTCTAATGTGATCACATTACACCTGAGATACTTGTTTATTATTATTATTATTTATTTATTCTTTTTTTTTGTCGTTGTTATTGTTGTTTTGCTTTTTAAAGTTAGTTTTAAAAACCCTTTTCACATTTCCAGGTTTCTCAGTTGTGGAAGTCGTCATAGTTGGGAAAACTTTGCGCAGTGAATGGGAAAATACAACAAATTTTATATTTTATTTATATCAAATTTGCTCAAATAATAAAAAAGAAAAACTCTACAATGGTGTTATCAACACTTTCAAAACAAGGAAAATGTGGAAGAATGAAAACAGTAGCCAGAGAGAATAATGTCTAATTTACTGTCCTGCCCCCATAGATGCTGCATTAGAAATGCCTCGCACAAGCAGTAATTCGTTTTTTGTCATTTAAAGAAAAGATGATAAAATACATTTATAAACACAAATAAATGTTCATTTATTCATTCATTCATTCATTTTCTTTTCGGCTTAGTCCCTTTATTAATCTGGGTGTTGCCACAGCTGATGCACTTCCATCTGCAACCCATCGCTGAGAAAATAAATGTTCATATGTTTTTTAAAAATATATAAATATAATAAAATCTTTCAAGGATTTAGGATGCTGATGATGGTTAATTGCATTATAACAGGCTTGTGAAAAGGGTCCATTACTATAATTGTATTTTCTAATAGTTTGATTGTCTGTGTATTTGTCGTTAATCTTTTCTATCCACCCCACAGCCCTTTGGTGTGAACCAGCCTGGCCCGTATGTCATGTACACATCGGTGGACTCGAACGGTTATCTAAAGAACGCTTCTG